TTAAAAACAATTTCTTTACCTTGAAAGTTTAGTTATAAGAACGTTCTTTTTTATTTGCATTGAAGCTATCACACCTATTTAATGGGACATTCCAAAGAAAAGGCGCGAAGATTTACTTGTGGCGTTTGACTCAAAATTACGAATAGTGACCGCCTTTCATTATTCTAAGACAGATGTACTGTTTCAGAAGTATATACAAGTAGATTTAGACCTGTGGTCCCAATAGCGTAATAGTAAGAGCTTTGGATTTTCATGCTGGCGACCCGGGTTCAATCCCCTTTGTTTCCATAAAAAGTTTTATCACTTTTTCAGCTCGATTTTAGGGGTTTTTTTTCAAAATCGGACGGAAGACCTCTCGTTGCTCGCAACGAGTTTCTTATCTAGTTTACTTATTTATATTTTTCAAAGCTATTAGTTAAGGGGGAAGTTTAAGAATACTGTGCAACGATATATTGGGAAATGGTGCAAATCAAATTTGGATGCGAAAAAATCCCTAAGAACTTTAGTAATATTTCAAATCACATAATTTGACCAAAATCAACAAAAGTCTTTTTAACTGAACAGCTATTCCCCACGATAAATTTAAGTCCAAGCTTTTTATATCATTGACAGCTGCTTTACAATAACCAGAAGTTTCTGTCGAGACTGAAGCTCTACTGGTTTGTGCTTGTAGCAAAGGAGGAGAAAAGTACTTAAACAGTTGGGAATTGAAACTTTACAAGGGCAATAAATAAAATAATGATCCTTGATAAAGTCTCTTTACATTCATAGTGTAGTCTACTTGTGTGCCAAGTTATACTGAAATCAGACCAAAACTGTAGGAGGAGTAGCATTTCAAAACAATTTTACAGAAATTTCTATTTTTAGTAACCACGGCAACACCGTTCATCGAAATCAAAAACCGATATATAGAATTATGTACTAAGTATTTTAGTGTAGTCTACTTGTGTGCCAAGTTATATTGAAATCAGACCAAAACTGTAGGAGGAGAAGCATTTTGAAAGAATTTTACAGAAATTTCTACTTTTAGTATTCACGGCAACACCGTTCATCGAAATCAAAAACCGATACATAGAATTATGTTTCTTAGTGTAGTCTACTTGTGTGCCAAGTTATTTTGAAATCAGACCAGAACTGCAGGAGGAGTAGCATTTTGAAAGAATTTTACAGAAATTTCTATTTTTAGTAACCAGTACAACACCGTTCATCGAAATCAAAAACCGATACACAGAATTATGTATCTTAGTGTAGTCTACTTGTGTGCCAAGTTACACTGAAATTACCGGTACCAATTGCACCGTCTATTAGCAGACTTATTTTTGTGTTCATTTGAAGCAGAATTTGTGCAAAATCTTAAACTTGATGAAAAGAAGAAAATACTCGCTGTGGCCACCAACTCGACATCGACGACGTGTTGTCAATTTACATTTGATTTATCCATTCTTATATCGATACCATATACCAATATCCCGGTAAGATTGAAATAGTCTGACACATCTCTTTCCTATTTGGATATTTAACGACTACGAAATATTTTCGTGTCCTTTTTTTACCAGTTCCGAATACCCATTTTAAACACTATTATAAATTCATTCTTCGTTGTTTTCTTCATTGTAAACGTGACTTATTATACCCCCGCTTGAAAAACAGCTGGAGGAAGGGATATATAGTAATGGGATGTTTGTCCATCCATCCGTCTGTACGTCCGTCTAGCTGTACGTCCGCCCGTCTGATACGCTCTGGGGTATCCATTTCTTATTCGCAACCCCTCACAATTCCTCCTATACCACTGAATACGATTTAATGATACTTTCACCGATTCTTTATTACATTGTGACCTTTTATTTTACTTTTTGATCTGACACTTATTTCGGGTCTCCCAGAGCAAAACATGGACTTTGTCATAAATAACCATGAAGGAATAGTGGGGTATCATTAAATTGAGCTCAGTGCCCACAGTTGCTCTAGTTTCTCTTCAACCTTTGGAAATACACATGATTTATTGGTAAGCAATTAATTTAACTTTTCTTGGGCATGCCGGTGGATAACGTCTGGGGCGTATATTTTTTAACTTAGGGTTGAATTGAATAAAATTCTCTAGGGTATCCGGAACTCGGCGGCTTATTGTAACTGGTAAAATGGACACCTATGGTAACTTGCGAAATATTTTTTTTTGAGGGAAGGCTGAAGTTTTATGAAACAATATTGAATTCCACAAGTCATCGAACTACCTTGATAAAACAATTGGATTTTGAAATAATGTCTAGTATATTAATAGCACCGCCGAATCGGTTTCTTATTCGGAACTGGTCAAATAACTGTATACAAAGAGACGTTAATGGTGATCTAACAACAAAGCTTTATGATAACAAGTTTGGCTTTCCAGAAAGCCTGACATGTCATCTCTTTAGTATCAATAATGTCAAAGAAATAAAACAGAAAGGGAAACATTTTAATGCAATGAATATATGGATTATTATACCTGAAGTTCCCGAATGACTTATTCAGCAAACAGAAAACTAAGCTGACAGGTATTTTAACATAAGCAAAAGCAGTCCAAAGATTATTCCTAACCACGTAGCTTAAGTATTTAAACCTTTCGAAAGAAGCCACCTATACCTACGTTTTGTTCACTTTTAAGAAAAATGAGGGGTAGGGTACCAGCAGTGATTTAACTATGGATATACTACTACAAATCTGTATATAGAAATCACGTCATTCATTTGTCAGTTCTCCTTGTGTGGCTTATCCAATTTAATAAGGCATAGTATTGAGGATCAATATTATATACGACACACCAAAACTTTAGATATTTATAAGCATCGTACTTCTTTTCTAGATTTTCCTTGGCTTTCAAGGCAAATAGGCCTAAACCGAAAGTAGATCACACACTTCTAAGCTAGTTCTTCTAAAAGAAAACCACTTTACAGGCTACTTTGAACTCCTTGTGTAGATTCTCACTTGAGATATTGTAAATCATCGAGGATTCCCGAAAAATCAATGGAGGCTTACACTAGGACTTTACTTCCGGCATACAATCTTAATGTGTCATCTCCCGAGGGAGATGACAATCATGATGAATTCTACTTCCCTGTCTTTTGAAGCATTATGCCTTATTCACTTGTATGCCGGGTTTTATCTTTCAAGTAATTCGATGCGCAAGAGCATGCTCTACGTATAATCAATTTCTTATACAATATTCGTTATTAACAACTTGTACAAGTTAAAACAATAATATCAACAGTCTCGCTTAAAAATATCATTTCGTCACTTGGTTTTTTGAAATCAAAGATGTTTGCTTTCTCTATATATTTCATCTTTAAAGAATATGTTTGTACTTTTTTGAATTTAAAAAATAAACAAAAACAAAACAAAAATGAACATCATCGATTGAATCGGATTTTATTATTGTATAATATGTCTTTTCTGTAGATCACTATATTTTGGCGAAGCCTTATTTTCGCGGCTTAGCTTTTCGGTATTTATTAACGAGACAAAATTTTCGCGAGCTGTGGTCTCCGTTTATATAAACATCAATAATAAAATTTTCGCGAGCAGAAAGACTCACGTAATTACGCGAAAATAAAGTTCTCGCGAATAAAAAGTCATTTGCAGTAGGTTGCTTGGAATGTACATATAGACCCTTCATTTTAGGATTAGTTGAAAAGATCTATGTAAGGTAAGCTTACTAATCTCCAGAATTGCATAGATTTATAGAATAGTCACCTACATGTATATCTATTATATTTGTTCCTCTTTTTAAAGTTTAAATTGAAGAAATGTTTCATTCAAAAACAATGTAAACTTCTATGGATTTTCTGAATCGGTTGCAACATTATCCATTAAGAATAAATAACACAGACTGTACTGTTTTCAGAAATCAGCAATATTTCTCATAGATTTACATATAAATTGGTAACCTGAATAATATTCTCAAAGTAAAGTTGGAGAATTTCATAAGATTTTGTCATAAGATTTTAATAAATGTGCAAAATTTTGTATAATCATAATATAGAAAGCAAATCAAAGTCTCATATGTAAGCACCAAGGGAAACCTACGATTTCATTATATTTCATGGATTTATTATTTATGCCATTTCAAATCAAAATCAGTCATAGATATAGATCAATCAATGCATAAAATTTTTGTTTGTGTCAAGAGTTTCCCATTGCATGTGTCTTTCCCTTAAGAGAGTTTAAATGCCTGTGTAAAGAGAGAGGGAGAGAGAGAGAGAGAGAGAGAGGCAATGCATATATCCCTTTTTGAAAGTCGGACTTCAAAATCTTCATAGACAGTTGGTAAATCCAATTGATGCAAATAAAGGTCTAGCTAGATGGATAAAAATAAACATCTAAATTTAAAGCAGAAACATCTTAAAATTTTATTCAAATCAAAATGTATAAAAACCATGCTGTGTATAATTGTTTTGTAAAATTATTGCAGGCTTTTGCTAATAACCTTTTGAGCTCCAAAAATTTCCTTAATTAGTACGCCCATGTATTAACTATAAAAACATCAATTATCCAGCACGTATAGATTACCCCATGATTATGACTTTTTATTCAGTAAATACTTCCTTTTGACAACAATTTCTGAACCTTTTTAAAGAATTTGAGCCACGAAAAAAGGTTGCATTCAAAAAGTATCATCTGGTTATCGGTGTGGACAAATAAAAATCTACTGACAACTCGACTACACGTATCCAGGATTTTGCAGAAGACAAGAACATTTTAGGATACGAAAATCAGGTAATCAGAAACATTGCAATTAATCTTCGTTGATCATGTTGATACAACTTAGAAAAGAATTTGCTGAATAAAAATCTTTCAATTTTTAAATTTTTAAAGTGAATTTAAAAATAAAAACTTATGTCGTACACACTATAATTAATATGATAAAACTACAAAACTGCAATAATACTTGATAGATAAATTTAAATTTAAAAAAAACCCACGAAATTCACTCATAAAGCAGACATTTTCTCTTTGTATTGAGGATTTCAGAAATATGGACACATCTAAAATTTTGCTGATTGCAGTTGTTTTAACTGCATGTTCAGTGATCTTTCAAGTAATTGGTCTAGCCTTACCGAACTGGATTCATGCTGATGTTCCACCTAGTAAACTTTACTCTGGTCTCTGGAAGGCTTGTTTGGAAGTAGAAGGACGTGACTCCACTTGCAAAGATCTAACAAATCCAACTGGTACTTATAAAATATTTATTATTTTTAGTTAAATGTATCATTTATATTAAAATACTTGTAAGTATGACGAAGATCAATTCGTGAAACTGGACAAAATAACCCTTTATTCGCTCCTGGGGCGGTCAATGTCATATATTAATAGGCTTCTATTTGCATGAAGTAAATAAATAAGTTATACTATGTCAAGGTTTTAACAATTTCTATGCACCTTTTCCCACAGATTGGTTAAAAGCTGTAAGGGTTATGAGTATCTTAGGACTTCTGGCTCTATTGGTTTCTTCAATAGCAGTTGCATTGAAACAATTTATCATGAAGGAACAGAAACCAATCCTTTTTGTTGCAATTGCTGCTGCTTTTGCCGGAGGTAAGAAAAAAAATTAGAATTCATTTAATCTATGAAATCTTTTTTTCAGTCTTATGTTTACATAATAATGTAAAGTTTTCACATGCGTATCAAGTTGTCCAGTAGATATTTAAAATCAAACTATCACAATGGCTATTTTTTTTTCATTTTAAACATCTTTTTCATTGTAGCTGTCTTCATTTTGATCTCAATAGCCGTCTATGCAGCTAAAATTAATGATATAAATACTGGTGAGATCTTCAAGTTTCACTTTGCGTTTGCATTTTGTATCTTGGCAATGTTGGAAGGGCTTGGAGGCGGCGTACTGATGCTGATAGAAATGATGAAATGATGAAGGCAACTGGCTACATTTTGTTTGCTTGAAAGAAATATTCGTAATGATGTTTAATACATTGTACATATATTTATTTAAAATTATACAGATAAATATTTTTGCTCTGTGTTGATCTGAAGGAAAATGCGTGTAATGCTTTCAAAACATTACAAAATAAAGAACAACACCTATGAAACAATTTTATGATTTATCTTATCTTGCATATAATATACATTCTTGGTTTAATGGTTTGGATCTATTGACAAGATTTTTTTCAGAGGGTTTAAAAAAGTTCTTTAATTTCACGGGTTTACAATTCTTATCGTTGTGATAGAAAGCATAAATATTTGACAGGGGAAGATATGCAAATCTAATATATTTATGTTTGTGTTTTTCAAAATTCAATTTCAACTTTAAAAGTTCTGGTGAGATTTAATTTTTGAATGATATCCGTCCTTTTCTCTATCACATAAAACGCTACTCGAGGGTGGTTCAAAAAGTAATGCTACAATGGGTTATCATATTAAATTAGAAGCAGTTGATTATATTTTTACATACGTTTCTAACTAACGTTAACAGAACTCAAATTAACCGAAAACTATCTATAATAATCTTGCTGTCCACTGAAGTTATTCACATTTAGGTAAGCATAATCACTTCAAGGAATTGAAAGAACGATATGGAGATAACGAAGATTATTCAATATCAAAGTCCATAAAACAATACAAAATAGGAGCAGAGCAAACACGGACCTCCGAAACATCAGAGGTGGAATCAGGTGCCATGGAGGAGTAAGTATCCCCTGCCGACCGGTCACGCCCGCTGTGTGCTCCTTGTCATGATCGGGAAATAACGGAAAATCCGTCGTCAATTCAGTGTATACATAATGAACTAGCAATTAATATGAAAAACGTCAGTCAGCATTTGACTCAATGATAAATTGTATTTGCTGACAAGGTTATTGTATCGACAATAGAACTTACGAAATGATGACTTTAAACGAGACTGCTGATATTCTTGTTTCATCAACTTGCTTGTCAATAATTTACCTCGTTTTAGAAATTGTTCTTACGTAGAGCATGCTCTTGCGTATCGAATCAACTGAGATATATACACTCCGTATGCAGGTGATGAAAACGTCTTTTGGTCTCTGTCAAGATGGTAATATAGGCCTTTCAACTGCCGCTAGGGTTCGCTGTTGTGAACGATAACTAATTGCTGAGACCTGTTTAGAGCAAGTCCGAGGTATCTAACTGTTTATAGGCAAGTCAGTTTTTAGAATTTCCCAAGCGTTTCTTTGCTGTCAGTAGAATCCAGTGGTTTTAAAATTTAGCACTAATGTTAAACTTATTTACTATGTGTTTTAACCGTTTAATTACATATAAGTAATTAATTATAATAAAAAGTGAAATATACCCTCCTTCTTAGTTCTAACCTGATTGAATTTTTATATTAGGTCGTTCTTCTTATGCTTAGTTACACAAATCAGATAATTAATTGTATTGACTTGTACAAATATATATATTCAAAATTTATATATATAAGAAGCACAATTTAAGTACGCACACAAAAACATGACATTATATTTTCTTCTTCATAACAATCGTCAAGGAGAGTTAAATATATTGAATATAGACTGTTCCCCATTCATTTGACCGTTATTTCAGGTAGAGTGAAGACATTCTCTCAATCGCAAGTTCTCGGGCCTTTCCGACTAGTGGAAAACGACCTCGAATGTACGTAGGTAGACGTCATGATGCATAAAAATAATATGGAATATGGAGTTTAACTTTATTCAATGTAATTATATTACCAAAAATGTACTATAGAAGGGACTTCTAACTCCATCTATCCTATACTGGAATAAACAGGGAATGTATAAATTTTTAACATCTGGTGATGTTAGAACATTCGAGGTTGTTTTTCTGACCTCTGACGGAAAGGCCCGAGAAGATGCGATCGGGCATTCTCCTTCTTTTGGTCAACACTTTTGTTTACAAAACGACCATTTTGTGTACATACCTGGTAACAATACCAATGCTGAAGCAGCCTATAAGAGGCCCCTTTACTATATATCCATATTGGATAAACGACGTTCCGAGATTTGGTCATTTCTGACAAACGGACTGTTTTTGTTATAAATAATTATTTGCATTGTGAGAAATATAAGACTCGGGAAAATATTTTAGCGTGTATGAACAGAATACTTCAGAGCATGTCACGTGTTTGCCTGTATCACGTGATTCGCGCATGGGCAGAACGGTGGCAGATATGCATTAAAGTCAGAAAGGGCTACTTTAAAAAATAATGAACACTGAAACTTAATTTTGTTTGTTTTATGGAAGTTATTCAATTTGTTCGCGAACTTTTTGATCACCCCTCGTATGTCATTCCTATAAACGATAACTCATAAATCGGCACTTAATAGTTGGTCATTTTTCATACCTGAGTTACCTGTCTTTAACACACAACATCGAAGTAGTCAACTACAAAAAATTAAACTTTTTAATCATTTCATTAAAGGTATGCACAAGTTATTATCTTATTTGATAATTTGATGTCCACTAATTTGATAATATAAATCTATATATGAAATGTTTTTTAACCTATGTGCAACTTGAAAAATTAGTTGAAAGGCCTAGATAATAAAGGAGGGCAATTTTGAAAATCGCACTTTATTACAAAAGTTGCTAAAGGACACATACGAGGATTGTTCGAACAGTTCGATTTGATTTGAACATATTTCATGATGGAATAAATACATGTACATAAATGGATTGGGCAGCAGGCATTGTTACAACGCACTTTGAAAAATTACGCACTTCGAAAAAATTTTCCAAAGTGCGTTAAAATTTGGGACCAAGCTAACGCACTTTGAAAAAAATATTTTTTTTTCAAAGTGCGTTAATATCGACCATATTAACGCACTTTGAAAAATTACGCACTTTGAAAAATTTTTCCAAAGTGCGTTAAAATTTGGGACCAAGCTAACGCACTTTGAAAAAAATGATTTTTTTCAAAGTGCGATAATAGCGACGATATTAATGCACTTTGAAAAAAATGTTAAGGTTGATCAATATTCCTTCAAATAATCTGTATGATAAATAACAGATCTTGGTTTGATAACTTTTTTATGATAAAGTCACTGTAGGACCTGAGGTATTGACGTTTTAAATATTTAAGGTTTTGATAAAAGGGAAAATTAAAGGGTCTTGAAAAAAAGAGTGACGATTGTTTAAGTTCATTAATTCGTTCCCCCCCTTTTTTTTTAAATTCTAGTCTTTGAGATGTAAAGGTGTATAGGGGACACTAACAGAGGACAGCTTCAAGAAACTTAGCATTTATAATAATGAAAAGGGGCCAATTTGATTGTTCAAAACTATGAAAATTCTTTCTCTCTCATACGTTTTACTAAACTTTAAAATTTCTAGTTTTCATCTGTTTTAATTAACTCATTTATTATTGAAAGTTTTCAACGTCATACCAGTTAGGTAAATACATGATTATATGAATGCTTTGAGAATAGCATAGACATCGAGACTGGGCGAAGGGCCAGGGGAAGGATGGGGGGCTAACCCTTTTTTGGAAAGATATATACATCGTATAAGCATTGAAAATGCAGCGTACCCTTTTAAGGTTTATTGCTCCCCTCCCCCCCGTTTGTTACCGACACCTATGTATTTGAAAGATAAAGATTTGGACTGAATATCTTATACCCGTCTTCTCCTCTTTTCGACGGGAGTAAATCAATTCATTTTTGAGGTTAGGGTTGGGCTTAGTTTTTTGAAAGATAAATAACAAATAAAATCTTTCCATGACTAAAATATGATTTTTTTTAAAGTGCGTTAAGTGTCTCCAGGGTAAAATATATTGATGTAGACTCTTAACGCACTTTGAAAATTTTTTTCAAAGTGCGTTGAGTTGGTGCCAAATTTAACGCACTTTGAAAAAATTTTTCAAAGTGCGTTGATTTTGTCCGAATTTTAACGCACTTTGAAAAAAATTTTCAAAGTGCGTTGCCACAAGGCATAGCCTATATAAGCCCTCACCACAGGTATAAGGTTAATTAATACACATTATTCTACATACAGTTACAGGTTCATACATCACCAATAAGTTACGTATATCTAACAAACACAATTTAGGAAAGAAAAAAATACATAAGAGTGAAGAGAAAAGAAAAAACCAAATGAATACCGGTTTATTAGAAAATGCGAGTGAAAATTGAAAAATGAGAATTACAGCAATTCAATGTACAATGAATGTGTATTTGATTTAGACAAGAACTGATAGAAATATTTCATAGTTTCACTTCATTTTAGAAACCTCTTAGTTTGTGATATATATGTATGAACACAATCAAACAATTTCATAATTTTTGCATTAGAAATATTACAATCACCAAATACTATTGTTTGCAGCTAAGTGTGAAATTTTGCGTTACGTCACGATCTTTTTCGTCAGATGCATCCAGCATAAACAATCCACGTGATTGGTCAACTCATATAAAACAACTTTGACACGGAAATAGTCTGTTGCACGAGCAACCAATCAGGAATAAGAAGAAAGATCCAGTCGTAAAGCTTGTACAATTTACCTTGAGCGCAGATGTCAACTAGATCTTGACGTAATGTAAAACGTCACACTTAACTGCAAACAATAGTAATAAAAGGTTTAGGGATACATGATGTTGCAGGTCTATATTAGGTATTCAATTCAAAAGAGTATTTCTTTGCTCAACATAACATGGACACTCTCTTTTCCGTAAATCACCACTTTAGGTCTCACACACGGAAATAATTTCACTATATGTTACTATATAGCTTTAATTAAATTAATTGATTAACTAGATTCTCAGCAGAAAATTCATAAAATAGAAAATAAAGATTAATGCTTTGGCGAAAATTTAAGATCAGAAAAAGTACATCTTATGCGGCTTTTAAGAAAGAAAATTGAGAGTAAACATACTTACATATTTACATTCGCAGTGTTTTTCTAGCAAGCTTACTGTGAAATTGATTTGAAAAACATTTTTGTGTATACTCACGCGTAGAAATATACACGGAGAAACGTGCGTTAACGTGACGTCACAATGAGACTGCAGCGACGTTAGTAAAATGCAATAATATAGGACAGCGGGAAATTCAAATATTGAGTATGTTTTAGTTGCCTCCAAACAGGT